ACTTGAATGGAAGCTGTTATTGTAGGCGAATTCAGCCAATGGCAAATCGTTTTCCCAGTTTTCCTGAAAATCAAGGACACACATTCTCAGTAAATCCTCCAGAGTCTGGATGGTTCTTTCTGACTGGCCATCTGTCTAAGGATGATAGGCACTACTTAGTCTCAGTTCAGTACCCAATGCAGTCTGTAAGCTTTGCAAGAATCTCGATGTAAACTTCGAGTCCCTATCAGAAACAATGGACACAGGCACTCCATGCAGTCTAACAATCTCATCAAAATAGAGTATAGCCAATTTGTCGTCATTATAAATTGTTTTGACAGGTAAAAAGTGAACAGATTTAGTCAGTCTATCAACTATAACCCAAATTGAGTCCATACTTTTACTGGAGCGAGGTAAACCCACAATAAAATCCATGGTAATATGTTCTCATTTCCACTCGGTATGGGTAAGGGTTGCAGTAAGCCTGCGGGTCGTTGATGTTCCGTTTTGACTTGTTGGCAATGAAGACATTTCGATACAAAATCAGTAATTTCTTTCTTCATTCCCGGCCGCCAGAAATTCAGTTTCAAATCTTGATACATTTTTGTATTCCCTGGATGGATAGACAGTTTTGAATTGTGACCCTCTTGCAGAACTCTTCTTTTCAGTTCAGTATCATTTGGTACACACAATCTTCCCTGAAATTTCAGTACATTATTTTCAAATTTGAAACCCGGTCTTGGTTTAGATTCCTGTTCTTCGATGATCTTCTTTAAGAAGTCACCCTGTTACTGTTTCTCTTTAATCTCTTCAATCAGTGCCGGTTGAACAGAAATAACAGCTATTGTTCCACCTTGTTCTCACCAAACAATTTCAATTTCAGACTTTTCAGGGTCACATAGCAACTCTTTCTGTCCGGTGAGTAAACAGGCTAAGCTCCCAATCGATTTCCGACTCAATGCATCGGCAATGGTGTTGGCTTTTCCCGGATGGTACAAAATCTGGAGGTCATAGTCTTTAATCAATTCTAGCTATCTCCGCTGTCTCATGTTCAGTTCTTTCTATGTGAAGAAATATTTTAAACTCTTGTGGACGGTATATACTTCACATGTAGCCCCATAAAGGTAGTGACGCCAGATTTTCAGTGCAAATACTACTGCAGCAAGTTCCAAATCATGGGTCGGGTAGTTCTTTTCGTGCGGTCTCAGTTGTCGGGAAGCATAGGCAATTACTTTCCCATTCTGCATTAAAACACACCCCAAATTATGAGAAGCATCACTAAAAATGGTAAAAACCATCCGTACCTGAAGGTAAGGTAAGAATAGGTGCAGTCACTAGTCGAGTTTTCAACTCTTGGAAAGCTAATTCTCTTTGGTCAGTCCAGTCAAATGATATCCCCTTTTGAGTTAATTGAGTCAACGGTAAGGCAATTTTGGAGAAATCTTCTGTAGTACCCGGCTAATCCCAAAAAGCTTCGGACTTCTGTCATATTTGTTGGTGTAGGCCAGTTTACTACTGCTTCAACTTTCTATGGATCAACTGAAATTCCATCCTTACTAATAACATGTCCCAAAAACATAACATGATCAAGCCAAAATTCACATTTAGACAGTTTAGCAAACAGTTTCTGTTCTCTTAGGGTCTGTAGGGCAAATCTCATATGATGTTCATGTTCTTCTCTACTCTTGGAATAAATCAGAATGTCGTCAATGAATACAACAATAAAGTCATCAAGGAATGGTTTAAAGATTCTGTTCATGAGATCCATAAATGCAGCAGGTGCATTGGTAACCCCGAAAGGCATAACTAAAAATTCATAATGTCCATACCTCGTTCGAAAAGCAGTTTTATCAATGTCTTTTGTTTAACTTTCAGCTGATTATATCCGGATCTGAGATCAATCTTAGAGAAAACTTGAGCACCTTGTAACTGATCAAATAAATCATCAATATGCGGTAATGGATATTTATTTTTCACGGTTACCTTGTTCAGTTCACGGTAGTCGATACAGAGTCTCAGTGAGCCGTCTTTCTTTTTCACAAATAAGACAGGTGCGCCCCACGGTGAAGTACTAGGCCTGATGAACTTTTTGTCTAACAGTTCTTGCAGCTGGACTTTTAGTTCTTTCAATTCGGTAGGTGCCATTCTGTATGGAGCTTTAGATACTGGTTGTGTACTTAGAATTACATCAACAGTGAACTCAGTCTCCCTATCAATCAAATCCCCTAGTAGACTATCTGGGAAAATATCTGGGAATTCTCTAACTATAGGAATACTGTTCACATTAGCATTATCATTAGTAGGTACAGTCAATACGTAACACAGATACCCTTTACACCCCTTCTTAATCAATTTATAGGCTTTCATGGATGAAATCAGATATGGATGAGGTACTACTCCAACCCCATTAAACACAAATTCCGATAAACCCGGTGGACGAAAAACTACTTGTTTCGTTACACAGTCTATGGTAGCATGATATTTCGTTAACCAGTCCATCCCCAATATAACATCAAAATGATCTATGTTCAGAGGCAGTAAGTCAATATACAGATGCATATCCCTAACAATAATTTCACATGCAGGGTACATATAGGCACAAGTTACAGATCCCCCAACAAATGAAGATACAGGTAACAAATAATTCATGGGTTCTAATGGTCTACTCAATTTTCGCGAAAAAGCATGCGATGCATATGAGTGTGTAGACCCCGAATCAATCAGAACATATGCATTTTGAGTACAAATAGAGAGAATACTTGACACAACGGTCTCGGTATTTTGCACATCTCCCGGTACTAGTGCGAACACTCGGCCTTGCCTCATAGGCTCTTTCTCGGTAGCTTTGGGGTTAGGCTTTGGTGTGGCAGTCGATGCTGCTGCGCTAGGTGCAGCTTTACTAGTGGCCTGCGGGGCAGAGGGGCAGTCTTTAACCATGTGGCCCACCTTGCCACACCTGTAACAAGATCCAGATATTTTGTAATAAACCCCTTTGTGCTTCTTGCCACACTCAGAACAGGGTGGTATGGAACCACTCCCCTGGCTGGGGCTAATTGTTGACCCCGTATTCTGTTTCTTGTTCAATAGGTTATTTTTTCCTTTCTTGAACTTAAAACCCTGCCTTTTACCACGCCATTCAGACACTGGTGCTGCAGTTTGTTTCAGTGCCTCGATGTTCGACTCAGCCATTAATGCTCGGTCAAGAGCATTTACATAGTTCGGTAGCTTTAAAACATTTATTCTGTCCAGTATCGCAACATTAAGGCCGCCCTCAAACTTTCTGGCCTTCTTGTAGTCGGTGCCCACCATGTGTGGTGCATATCTAGCAAGTTCGGTGAACTTTGTTTCATATTCAGCAACGGACATGGTACCCTGTTTTAGCTGTTCAAACTCAGTCCCTTTTCTATCCCTGACACACTGAGGGAAATACTTTTCGAAGAAGGACTTCTTGAATTGAGCCCAAGTCATAACAGTGTTGGTGTCGCGGACTAACATCCACCACCTTTTGGCCTCTTCTTGTAGTGTAAAGGTGGCCAATAGCACTTTGTGTGTTTCAGAACATGGAAAAACTTCGAACAATTTTTCTGTCTCAAAGACCCAAGCTTCAGCCTTTAAGGGTTCAAGGCCTCCCTGAAAGGATGGCGGTTTCATTTTGCTGAACTCCTGGGTGAGAGCAATTATATCCCCATCATTAACATTCGGTTCCGGTTGTACCGAAGGAGGAGGTGGGGGCTGTTGGTTCTGCTGTTGTTCTAGTCTTGCGGTTAGTAGTTCCACCATTCTCTCCAACCTCGCCATTCTTGCCTCAGAGGATTCAGTTTCATTAGCAGTTCTTGCATTATCCATTTCACTATAGGCAACATTATAATAATAAACATAGGAAGTTGCATACTTTAAACATTTAAACATAAGCAGTTATATGTTTCAACATATTAACACATATACATGTCATGTCCACACACTTTTCATGCTCATGTGATGCCCTAATTGCTTTCCTAGGACACCCTATAGCTCATTTGGACACGTGTGTGCGGTATAACTCGTGGTTAAGTATCGCTCTGATACCACTCTGTCACGACCCAAACCCGGCCCTATAGGTTTAGCACCGTAACCGGCCAGTAATAAAAGCAGTTTTATCAATGTCTTCCGGTTTAACCTTCAGTTGATGATACCCCGATCTAAGATCAATCTTGGAAAACACTTGTGCACCCTGTAACTGGTCAAAAAGGTCATCA